CCTGATTTTCAGAGCTGCTGAGCCTCTCTTCACCCCCTAACTTTATCTGGGATAGTGGGTGTTCAGCATCTCAGCCTCATTTACCAGAGTGCAGACAAGTATCTTTGCTCTCCAGTCTACCTGAAAGAATGAAGTACCTGAGTGAGCAGAAGGAAAGAGAAGGGGGGGGGGGTGGTAAAGGGGGGGGGAAGGAAGGGGGGGGGGGCGGGGAGAGAGAGAGAAAGCATCAGAACAGAGTTACATTTTCAATCTTTCCTGGCAAACAAGGAAACCTTTAAAACAAGCAGTCTGAGAGGTTAAATTCCCCAGACATTTGAAACCAAGACACCAGCATAAGTTGGCAAGCTGACGCAACCTCAGCATGGGGGGGAGGGATAGCTCAGTGGTTTGAGCATTGGCCTGCTAAACCCAGGGTTGTGAGTTCAATCCTTGAGGGGGCCACTTAGGGAACTGGGGCAAAATCAGTACTTGGCCCTGCTAGTGAAGGCAGGGGGCTGGACTCGATGACCTTTCAAGGTCCCTTCCAGTTCTAAGAGATGGGATATCTCCATTAATTTAATTTATAACTCAGGCACAAGCAGTTTTCCTCAAGAGATAACACACCAACTCGTCAGCTAATGCACAGGGGAGTAATTCCATTCCAGCGAACAGAGCTGTACTGATTTACACCAGCTGAGGGTCTGACAATGTTCATAGCCTGAATTAACCCAAGTTAACCTAGGCTAAAGAGTCACAGAAAACTCCTCCTCCTAGTCAGGATATACAAGCTCCACTGCCTGTCTCTCAAGCAGCTAAGTTTTAGTCCTTCCTCTGAGCACCTGTGGAAGAGGAGGGCACGTTCGCCCGGGAGAAGGCAGTGTCCCTGCAATCTGTCACAGTCAATGCAGAACAAGAGTTTTGAAAGCCAGCTGTGCACTGTATGTACACAAGGAATGCGGGTGCCCAGGTGGGCCAGCAGGAGCTTGGAACCGGTCTCTGGATAGTTTTTGAGGCAATAAAGATACTTTCCACCCTCCAGAGACAGAGGGGAGAGGGATGGGTCAGAGTTACAGGGGAAAGATTCTTCTCCCCATCCCCTTACAAGTAAACATCACGGTAGATGGTGTCCTCTCTAGCCTACCAAAAAAGTACCTGGATATTACAGCAATTGGTGCTATAAAAGTGTCTAAGATGGACACATACCCTATCCTCAAGTTCCTCCTTGCTTGCTAGGTCCCTGTTACAGCAAACGTCCCTCTAGTAAAAACCCCTGGACCAGTTTCCCACAGAGCCAATCAATGCAGCTCCTTCAGCCCAAAGCAAAAGCGGGTTTTATGTTGCCTCCATTTCTGACTGCCCATCTTTACAGAGCCTGATTTTCAGAGGTGAGAGGTATCTAATCTGCCATCTGAGGTGTGACCACGGCACGCAGGGACATATGCAAGCTAGCTCTGACTTCACTAGCTCAAACCAAGCATCTAGTTCTTGCTGCTGCTATTAATACATACCCAGGGTCCCAGGCAAGCGTGTGCAGCCCCTGCTCCCACAGCTTCACTGCTACTGTTATTGGAGCTAGCTAGCCTGGGTACATCCATCAG